TGAGGTTTCTAACAAATACAAGGACCTCCATGTGGTTTCAATAATTACAAAAACCTCCCCTACTTTAACTGACAATATCAAGATTCTCCCAATCCGTCAATTTTGCACAAATGACGTTACTTGCCTATACAGAATGACCATATTACCCCTTCATTTGAGGGTGGAAAGATGAAAATACCCTTTGTTTCATCAGAGTCATCTTCCTCAAAGCTTGAGTTCCAAATGTTGCATATATATATATATATATATGTAATTCTTAGGTAAATTAAATAATTTTAATCGAATAAAATGTACACAGATAGATATCTACATATATATGTTGCATATATACAAATTGGATAATACTTGAGGGTTAAATTAAAGAATAGGGGCTTTTGATCTTTGCAATTTCCATCGATCCAACTATTTTCTGTTTTTGAGCATGGGCGGTGGTGCGACGAAGGCAACCGAATCGAACAACAATGCCGCTGCAAGTGGCGGTGGCAGTGGTGGTGGTGATATAATTGTCCACATCCGATGCTTTAATGGCTAAAGTTCTCGGTGCAAATCAGCCTCGACTCCACTGTTGGATCCTTCAAGTCCGTCGTTGCCTAGAACTGCGACATCCCCTCCGAGCAACAATGCCTCGATGACGACGATGGAGAAGAAGCCTAATCGGAAGTTTCCTAATAATATTCATCTTTACAGTGTGAATGTTTCATGATGTAAATGTTCACACCATCAATGTGAATGTTGACACTGTCAATATGAACATTTACACATCAATGTGAATATTTACATTGTAAAATATGAATGTTTACATCACTAAATTGCTAACCATTCAAAAATATTTGTAAGGGTAGAAATGTCCATAAAATACCTTAAATATGAGAATTAGGATTTGGTAAATTAAATATCCAACTAATAAGACTTATTGGAATACAAGAATATTTTATGAACTAATTGAGATACAAATACTTAAAAAAGAATTTTCTAATAAATCTCCCCCCCAAAAAAATTAAACTAGGAGCCACAGGACAGGCCCACAACGTTGACTGTAACCCTAGACGTCTCTAAAGTTGTCCATGAATCAAGAGGGCTCTCGTATGAAAATTATATTACGAAATAAATAAAAAAAAATTATTCGATGCAAGTTCCACTTGATAGAGTAGATGTGAATTTCCTCTATTCATTGGCTAGCAAGTAGGAGCAATCAAGATATTCTTTTTTTAGTAGATTTTTAATTTTGGAAGAAGATTGAGACCTCGTCAAAGTCGAATGCCTTGAATTGTTGTTGTTGTTTATTTTTATTTTGTTTTTTTTTTTTTGAACTGTGTTGATTTAGTTTTTTTTTATTTTATTTTGTTATTTATTTATTTGTTGGGCTGTGTTGGTTTGGTTATTTATTTATTTGTCAGGCTTTTTTTTTTTTTTTTTTTTTTTTTTTTTTTAAGGGTGGTTATGTATAGGGGTGGGTTTAGTATTTAGGGTCTAGGGTTTAAGAGGTTTAGGGTTTTAAGGTTTAGAGTTTAGGGTTTAAGAGGTTTAGGGTTTAAGATTTAGAATTTAGGGTTTAGGGTTCAAGAGGTTTACGGTTTAGGGTTTAGGGTTTTAGGATTTAGGGTTTAAGAGGTTTAGGGTTTAGGATTTAGGGGTTAGGGTTTAGGGTTTGGGGTTTTAAGATTTAGGGTTTAGGATTTAGGGGTTAAGGATTTAGGGTTTAGGGTACACATAACCACCCTTCCCAAAATAAAATAAAATAAACCCAAACTTGTAACGCCCCAAAATTTATGCATAATGATAGTACAATAACCATGGCTCCTTATGATAAACTGGAATAAACCCCTAACACTTGCTTTACATGATCATGAGGTTTATACAAAATAGTTCCTCATACGAATATACATTCAATGATTTCTAGTGCATGAATCTATAGCATGTAGAACATTCAATCCAAAAATAAATAAATACCCTCAAGGGCTTACAAATACCAAGGCTTAAGTCCGGTTACACAAAAATGATTTCTCGAACGCATACAATTATAGCTCTTGGCTTACAAAAAATACAATCACAACAAAACAAGAACCTTGTGCTCTCAACACACACTTCCACGCCGTTAGTTAGGCGGAATCAACACATCTTTTCCTGCACAAAATCTTGTAGGGTGAGCATAAAACCCAGTATGAAATTCTTAACAAAGTACATACATTTTATACAAGCCTCACGAAATGAAATGCACATGCCATGCTATACTTTTTGAAAGAAAATCACATCTTCATCTTTTGAAAACCATCATGCTCAAAGCTATCTTGAAATTTCAACAATCGAAAAGTTATCAATTTAGTTCAAGGGGGCGGTAAATACGACTCAAGTAATCCCTAGGTTGGTGTCTACAAGTAGGCATAACTAGCACTACCAAAACTCCACTTTACCGGTAACTAATCGGAAAGCAAGTGGTACCTCCTCCGCGCATGTTTTCGATTTTTCACCTTGGACATTCAAGTCAACTTAATCAATTTCATCTACACCACCTATTTGGACTTACCAACGTATTTACCCCAAAGCAATTCCATGAAAACTTATTTCACAACATTCTTTTCTCAATGCAAAAGTTTTCAAATCTAATATTCAAAATTTATCATAACCAAATGAATTGAAATGTCAATGCAACAATTATCAATGCAATGCAACATCCCTTCCATTTTCAATTCTTCTACACAATTTTTTCATTGTGATCACAATTTCCATTCCTCTTTCCAATGCAAATCTCACAAGATAATTATATATTCGTTTATACCCAGCAAAAGAATGATACATTTCCACATTTCAAGCATTCCTCAACAATTTAGTCTCTTCATGACTATATTTACATTTTTTAGCAATAAGTCTCAAAACCAACTAGTTTTCATATTTCATGAAATTTCCCATTTATATCCACAACAAAATAAAATTTCCAACCATTTATTCATTTTAACATAGTAATAGGTAAACACCCATAAACCTTCAACATCTCTCTAAAAAATCTGAACTTTCTAGGTTTTTGCCAAAACTAGACATTTTTTCATATTTTGAAAGATTACATCTCTAAAACATCTTTCCTCAACAGTGTAATTCAAACTCTCAAGAAATTTTAAGCAAAGACAAGGTGTAAACCCAATTTTAAGATCACCAACACTCTTAAGCCAAAATCAAATTTCAAAGTTCATCCCAAAGAGTTCGAAAATCAACACACCTTGCAAAAACATACATATAACTCTAAGAAAATCCCTACCTCAAGTTTTGAAGAAGAAAAGAGATGAAATCCCCAAAATCAACGGTGTTGAAACTTGATCTCCACTGCACAAAACATAGCCCTCAAGAAGTTCTCCAACTTTGATGAAGGAGCTATGGGCAAAAATCTAATGGATCTAAAGATATCAAGGTTTTGATCTTGTTTGGTGTAGGCAAATGTAGAGAGAAAAAAGAGAAATGGTTTTTTAGAGAGAGAGAGGTATACAGAAAGTGATATACATACAGCCCAAGAAGAGAGAAAAAGACAGATTTTCAGACTCAGACCTGTCTCGTATGTGCGACACCCATTCCCGCACGTGCGGCAACCCCTTCCTCACGTACGACTCTCACCCCCGCGCGTGCGGCACTCTTCCGTCGCACCTGTAAATATTGCAGTGTTGCATCCTGGACCTCCTCTGCTTCCTGCATGTGCGGCCTCACCTCCCGAACGTGCAGCCCCACCTCTTGCACGTGCGGCCTAAGCCCCCGCACTTGCGGCTCTGTCCTCCAGCCAGGAAATTTTTCGACTCAACTCAAGACACTTCGGACCCAACCTCGCACCTTTCAAAACAAGTGAAGCCTGGGATTGAAATAAATAAAAACGATAGATTTTTGGGAGGAAGTTTTCAAAAACAACGAACACAATAGTTAACAAGACCACACATTAAAACCCAACATTCTAACGAAAGTAAATCCAACATAACTCAAGAAGACGAGGCGGACAACGTACTCGGTCACCACAAAACCAAACCAACACAGCAAAAAAATAAATAAAATAAATAAAAATCATTATTGGAGGAAAATTCGCGCCTCAATTTTTGAGGCCTTTAGCACAGCCGTTTAATTTTTAAGCTTTTTTAAGAGGTGAAAAAATGTGTTTAAGAATTATTTTTTTATGATAGTTCTACATATACTAATTAGTATACTAACTAATGTAACAACATATGTTATGGTATTATTATTGACCCCACTCATTATACAAATTACAAATACCAAAAACCTCTTAAATTATGTCACATCATCAATTAGTACACTAGTTAGTACACTAATTGACGCATATAATATTATTCATTTTTTTTAGTTGAATAAATAGTTGTAAGAAAAAAATTAATTAATTGATATATACAATGTGACCCTTTGCTAATGGGGTTGAATTTTGAGCTTTTTGACGATGATCCCTTAATAACACAATAAAGTACGGGGAAAGGGAAGAAAAAAAAAATTACATCAATAGTCCCTACATTTTAACCTTTGTATTATTTTGGTCCTTATCATTTTACTTCACTTAATTTTGATCATTAATCTTAAATTTTGTGTCCTTTTGGTCTATCAAATAGGGATTTTGAAAGAAAATGGTCACTAAATTTTTTCAGGTTAACTTACTAAGTTGAACAATTTATAATTTTTCTATAAAAGGAGGACACGTGATGCTTATGCGCGCATTTTTCATTAAAAAAAACTAAAGTTAAAATTAAAATTAATTAGACCAAATTAAAATAAATTCATAAATTTCAAATTAAAATCGAGCTAATCAAAATTACAAAAAAAACAAAATAATGCAATGACCAAAGAATAAGAATTACTGGTGTAATTCCCCAATTCCAACCAATCCTGACCATGCTCAACCCTACCCCCAAAAAAAAAGTCCCTAGCCTTTGGCTCTATAAATACATATATTTGGCTCTCCATTAATGTATCCAAGTTTATCAGCTCCATTTCTCATCATAATAATATTCTATTTTCAACACCAAATGGAGCAAACAAATTCAACTTTTCTCAGTTGTCTACTTGGTGCATCTGTCGTTTGTTTCATTTTCTTTTTCATGAACTCTCTTGAACAGATTACCACTGCCAAAGGCAACCCCAGTTTAGTTCTCACCAACGAGACAGACCATCAAGCTCTGCTTGCAATCAAGGATTTGATAACAGGAGATCCTCTGGGTGCCTTAAGCTCATGGAATCATTCAATTCACTTTTGCAATTGGCAAGGAGTTTCATGCGGTCGTCGACATCAACGTGTGACAGCCCTAAACCTATCCTCTCTCGCATTGGTGGGCTCTGTGTCTCCTCAAATTGGGAACCTCACCTTCCTCAGGAGGATTGATCTAGGTAACAACAGCTTTCATGGCGAAATCCCACAAGAACTTGGCAAGTTGTTTCGCCTGCAGTACCTTCTACTTTTGAATAACTCTTTCCAAGGTGAATTTCCCACCAATTTGACTCATTGTTCGCACTTGAGAGTTATCCGAATGCATTATAACAATCTAAGAGGTAAAATTCCTACGGAACTGGGTTCTTTGTCCAATCTCTCCTTATTGAATCTTGCAGTCAACCATCTCACTGGAACTATCCCACTTTCAATTGGGAACCTTTCCAATCTACGTGTGCTTTGTCTATCGTATAATAATCTTGAGAGAAGCATTCCCACCCAACTTGGGCAGCTTTCCAAGTTGGAGGCTCTTCAGCTGACTTCAAACAATTTGTCCGGTATGGTTCCTACTTCGCTTTACAACTTCTCATCAATCTATTACTTCTCAATCCTTTTCAACCAATTACATGGAATTCTACCACCTGATTTAGGCTTGACCCTTCCAAATTTATGAGTGTTTTTTGTCGCACACAATCAATTCTATGGCCAAATTCCATCATCAATAGCCAATGCTACGAGACTTGTGCAAATTAATTTAGGCACCAATTCCTTTACTGGGTCCTTACCTATGAATCTGGGAACCCTTTGTGCTTTAGAATATTTTGTTGCTTACCGTTCACTTGGAACAAACCAAGGCAATGAATTAATGAGCTCCTCACTTCTTTATCCAATTGTTTCAATTTACAAGTTCTGGATTTGGCCATGAATCATTTTAAAGGTTTTTTGCCCCATTCTATTGGAAATCTCTCCACCAAGATCACTTGGTTTGCTCTAGAAGACAACTATATATCTGGAAACATACCTCTTGTATAGCGACCCCGGTCTTTTCCCATTTGATTACTGTATCCGGACTTAGGTTCCGTAGATTCTGTCATTGTATAATTGTTGTTGTTGTTGTTGTTATCCCTTATTTTCTCATTTGGAATTATAGGATGTGTTGGGCAGGTTTGTTTCAGGTTGGTTGGGTTTAAAAACCAAATGTTGCTGTCCAGGTTTTTGGTTCTTCGCTCGAGTGAGGAGTTGGCCGCTCGAGCGAGAGGTGGCGTCCAGTATGGACCTGTAGCTTTGCGTTCTTGGCTCGAGCGAGATTTTCTTCGCTCGAGCGAGTTAGTCCGTTCTTCGCTCGAGCAGTAGTTCCTTCGCTCGAGCGTGAGTCTGGTTACAGACCTGAGGGTTTGGGTTCTTCGCTCGATCGAGTTTTCTTTCGCTCGAGCGAGCTTTTGGGTTGTTGGCTCGAGCAAGGCTTCCTTGGCTCGAGCATGGTTTTTCTGTGTCTGGTCGCTCGAGCGACCAAGTCTTCGCTCGAGCGAGCCTGTCAGGTTTAAATAGGCAGCAACGTGTTTCAGATCAGTTTTTCATTCCCTTTCGGATTCCAAAACCCTAGGTACGAGTTCTCTCTCCCTCTACACACCTTCTCTCTTGGGATTGATCTATTTAGAGTGAGTTTCTACCTTAGATCCTTTATTAAAAAGATAGAGTGGGTCGAGGGCTTCCATTTAATCTGAATTGTTGGTAGTTTGGAGCACTTTGGAGTTTGGGCAGTCATCTTCATCTTCTCTTTTGGGGTTATTTCTTCGAGGTAGGGATTTCCTACTCCATTTTATAGGTTTTGTTCTAAGTTATGGCATTTTAATATGTTGGTTTACTTTGGAAAATTTTGGGAAAAACCCAAGTTGTATTATTAAATTAATTTGTATAATTAATTTATGGAATCGGGAAAAGATGGTTAAATTCATGGAATTCATTGATTAAATGGCGTAGTTGGATAATTTGAATCATTTGTCTATTGAATTGTTGACATAGTTATTTTCAGTTTAGAAATAACTGTTTTGGGCTATCGGTGGAGGATAGTCTTGATTGTTGTAGACAATGCATGATGATTAGGCGAACTGAAACTAATCACTGGAATGTGTCATTGAGTATGACGGTTGAAAGAATACATTAAATTTATGTGTTGTGTGATGATGTGTATAATTATTATTTATATGCATTGTGTTGTGTTGGAGGAGATAGGGGATGTACTCCACGGTTTAGGGGAAGTTAGGGGATGGACCTCTAAACCGGATTTTGTTTGGGAGGAGATAGGGGATGGGCTCCATTAGCATCACTTTTATGTGTGCTTATTTATATAGAAGTGTTTTATTGATACAGCACTAAAATGTGTATCAATCTGGAAGTATGAAGTGTTTTGATTTGAGCTTGAGTCTCATTTGTTTGTTGATATTGGAAGGATGTGAACATGATATATGTAATTCACTGTTGTAAGTTTGGCCAGGTTCTGAGCCATGTTGATAAAATTGGAAAGTAAAACATATCTTGGATAATAGTGTCATGGGACTGTAAAATGAAGTAATTGAATATCTTGGTTAACCATCTGTTGAATGCTATGGCTTTATTCGTTGCTTATATGTGGTTTAGTATATTTCTACTGGGCTGTGGCTCACCCTTTATGGGAACATCATTTTCAGGTTCAGGTGATAAGCTACCTCCAAGGACTTAGCTTGGAAGGACTTGGATTCTGAAGACTATTTTTCTGTTGTTTGCTTTTATTTGTTAGTACATGTAAACACTCAAGCCTAGGGCTTTTCTTGTATTGAGTTAGAACTCGTATTTTTGTATCCAAGTGTTGGCTTGGAAAGATGTAAGCCTGTAGGGCATTTTATTCGATGTTACATGTGATGCTTTTATTTAGTAATACTCTGATGAACGAATTAATAAAATGTTTTCATTAAATAATGCATGTCAATGATATATATAATGGGTTTATTTTTGAGGGCGTTACATCTTGGTATTGGGAACCTTGTAAATTTGCAATGCCTCTTTCTAGATCAGAACTTGCTTACAGGTAGTATTCCAAATTCCATTGGAAAACTCTCCATGTTGGAAAAATTATTTCTTCCCAACAATAGCATCTCTGGAGAGATTCCATCATCTCTTAGAAACCTGAGTAGGCTTGGTGAACTTGACCTATCAACAAATATGATTGAGGGAAGCATTCCTATTTCATTAGGCAATTGTACCAATCTACAACGAATTTATCTTGATTACAATCGTCTCATAGGAGCAATATCTTATCAAATCTTTGGTCTGTCTTCCCTCATTGGTCAATCCTTGAGTCAAAATTACTTGACAGGACTACTACCACAAGAAGTGGGTAACTTGAAAAATCTGGGTGGACTATATGTATCAAAAAATAAACTATTTGGAGAAATCCCCACCGCTCTCGGCAATTGTGAAGTTTTAGAACTCCTCTACGTCGATTGTAACCTTTTCAAAGGTACAATTCCGACGGCTTTCAGACAATTGAAAGGTATTCAAGAACTAGATGTTTCTAGGAACAACTTGTCTGGACAGATTCCAAGGTTTCTCGGGGAGTTTCGGTTCTTTCAATATCTCAATCTTTCCTACAATATGTTTGATGGTGAAGTTCCGGATGGAGGAGTTTTCACAAACATTAGTGCCTTCTCAATTGTTGGAAATAGTAAGCTATGCGGAGGAATTAAACTATTGCAATTGCCTGCATGCCCGATGAAAGTCTTAAATGAAAGGAAATGACCTTCCGACCATAGAGTAATAGTTCTAGTAGTTACTCTAACTATTGTTGTATTATCATTGTGCATTCTAGCTATTCTTTACCGGAACAAAAGGTCAAGACAACAAGTCAATTTAGCCTCACCCTTGAAAAACCAATATCCACAACTCTCTTATGGAGAACTTTTTCAAGCAACCAATGGGTTCTCTCCATCCAACTTAATTGGTGAGGGAGGATATGGTTCTGTTTATAAAGGGATTCTCAACTTCGATGAACAAATTATTGCTGTGAAGGTGCTCAAAGGACACGAACGTGGAGCGAACAAGAGTTTTGTTACAGAATGTGAAGCATTGAAGAACATTCGCCATCGAAATCTTGTCATGACAATTACAGCTTGCTCAAGCATTGATTTTAAAGGCAACGACTTCAAGGCTTTGGTCTTCGACTTCATGGAAAATGGGAGCTTAGAAAATTGGTTACACCCAAGTCTTTTAGAGCAACATGAACCTAAGAACTTGAACTTTGTTCAAAGGCTAAACATTGCCATTGATGTGGCATGTGCATTGGATTATCTTCATCATCATTGTGAAATGGCTTTTGAAAAATCTAGAAATCCCCTAGATATTGATTTATGATTATGTATCAATTTTAAGCAGTATATAACAATCCCAATCAAACAATCAAGACAAATCAACACAATGATTTTAACGTGGAAAAACCACAATTGGAGTACCTCCAATTGTGATAAAAAAACCACGGGCAACAACCACAAAACAATCCACTAAGAAGATATAAAGGAATTACACATGTATACTCTCAATTACCTAGCGAATCCACGCCGAATTGAACCAACCCCTATATGCCTCTTCCAATCCCGTCATTACCTCGGAATTGTCTTGACGATGAGCCACTCTAGAATCCACCAACGCTTCAGGCTCGAATTCCCCAGAATCTACTGAAGAACAACTCTCTCTTTTGTGTAAAATAAATAAACAACCTTTGATGTATGCTTCTTAAACCGTGAGTTGAATACTCAATGAAACATCAAAGAAAACTAGCAAAATAGCCCCAGATGTAAACCCTAGAACCCAAGAAGAAGATCTGGAGGTGTTACCCTAGATTTGGACTAAAACACGTATTTATAGAAAACTGTCCCGCGATCTCCGCTCGAGCGTCAAATTGGCCGCTTAAGCGGACCTACGCTCGAGCGCGGAAAGTTCCGCTCGAGCGGGAAAAAACAACATCTAGTATTTTCGCAAGCGAACAAACTTCTGAAACCCAACATTCTCCGTTCGAGCAGGGGAATCTCTGCTCGAGCGAACAGGCAACTTTGAATGCATTTTTGCATTTTGCTTCGGGGGCGTTGCCCCTTGACCCCGCCGTGGCGCTGCCCCGGACCCGCCAAGGGCGCTGCCCCCTAGACTCCCGCGAGCTGATCGGGTAGCTCGATCCCCATCATAATCAGCGAAGTGGCAATCTTAAAAGTATTAACATCACAAACTTCTCTGCAAGGCACAATTCGGGTTGGATTCGCATCTAAACACTCATAGCCTCACTGAAATAAAAATGCGAAAACAAGTACAACTGAAAGGAGTTTTGTCAAATGGGATTGCCAAAAATAAAAACCTAACAACTTTTATTCATTGTGATTTAAAGCCAAGTAATATTCTTCTTGACGGTGATTTGTGTGCCCATGTTAGTGATTTTGGCTTGGCAAAGATTGTTTTAGCAACCAATGGAATTTCTATTCATCAACAATCAAGTTCAATTGGGATCAGAGGAACAATTGGCTATGTTGCCCCAGGTAATTGTTTATTACTTCTTACGTTGAAATTGATTAAGAAATATTATTTAGTTACATTATATTATTATCTTGCGGTGAACTAAAATCCAATTACGAGATTATATAGAAATTAAGCCATGTTTTAGAGATGACTTCCTCGACTTTGCCTTATTGTTTGTATAGCTACCACAACAAATTAAATCAACCATTGTCCTACCCCTATGGTATTTGAGCATAGATTTTAACCCTTGAGATAATTTTATCTTTTGAAATGTTGGACTTTTATTTTTTTTTTAGCAAAAGAAATACAACTTACTAGTTCAACAATCATACCAAAATTTAAAAATTTGGGCATTTTTTTCACCATTTCATATTGCAGAGTATGGTATGGGTGAGGAGGTATCAACGCAAGGTGATATGTATAGTTATGGAGTGTTACTACTAGAAATGTTACTAGAAATGTACACAGGAAAAGGACCAACTAGTAACATGTTTACAAGTAATGTAAACCTCCATAGCTATGTAAAAATGTGTCTTCCAGAGCAAGTAATGCAGATCCTTGATCCCCAAATCATATTGGAAATGGAAGAGGAGCCAAGTAGGAGCATGCAAAGTAGTACAACCAACATTTCTAAACTAGAGGCTTGCCTGGTACCAGTCTTTCAAATTGGAGTTTCATGTTCTGCTGAAATGTCAAGTGAAAGAATGAGTGTGAAAGATGTTCTCAAAGAACTATACAAGATTAGAAATGTATTTCTTGGGGTTAGGGGACAAAGGCATTAGGATGGAAGAAGAAATGATTCTTAACTAAAGCCACATCCGTAGGTTATTTTGATGTTCTAGAATTTTCTTTTCTGAATCTATAATTGTTGAGCTAGGAAAGGCATGAAAGTGGTTGTACTTGTGGCATTGTCATCAAATATTTATAGCTAGTCAAGGTTTCTATATGTTTATATGTATGCCTTCTCTATCTAGTCTTATCATAGTTTTATTTTTTGGTTTATGCTCTCAAGTAAATCTGTTGTACATAATAGAGCTTGGCTCAAACCAAAACACTGATGCCATAGAAGCTAAAGAGAAGAACAAAAACAACAAAAGATTTAGTTCATAATATGATGGATTATGAAGTTATCATATCACTCGTAAAATTATTGAGCAACAGAAAAAATGTTTCATTCATGTTGATTTCACTCTCATCATATATTAATCTAAATCTTAATCAATGTATAAAGCTAATGGGAAATATGAATAATCTTTATTATGAGGAAAACAAAAATTTACTAGTAGAAAGTGTTGAAAAAATAAAAAACACAATGCTAGCAACAATCTTCTAGTATAATAAAAAATCCCAAACTGCAAGTTAATATAACAATAGCAACATAATGAAAACACACAATGCAACTACATTTCATTTTTTCTATGAGTTGATTATTGAAATCATTAGAAATCCCCGCTTCAATGTGTTGTTATTTACAATTTGGGGTTAATGATGTATCAGTGAGTGATCATGTATTATAATAAAGGACAAATTGTTAAGCAAATTTAGGCCGTGAAGAATTTCAATTGGAATTGAATATGTAATTTGCTGATTTATTGTTATTATGTTTCCTTTTGCACATCATCCTATGGTTTATGAACAAGGGAACAATAGTGTTCCATGCTTATGCAATAATTCAATGTCAATTTGGGTTCAATTTGGTCGATTTTGAGCATGGACCATATTTTTTAATGTTTTTTATGTGGAGCTTCGGCAAACTACATCAGGCTGACTAAGGAAAATGGTTTCCGGTTTAATCAATGCCAATCCCGTTGTCTATGAAAAAAAGGAGCATTGAACAAGAAATGCACCGGATGATGTCCACGAGAATGCTGTGGAGCCCATTGACCAACTAGCAAATTTTGATATCCTTTGAGTTTGATTATTACATTTGATGCTCTGTCATATCCACTGTGTTTTGTCAGTTATATATCTCACAAATCGTAGGTTTCTTTGCAAAGCTTGGTGTTGATATTAAAATTCACTTGTACGTAAGTGTATTAGAATTTAGAAAGGAATATGTAGTTTGGACATGTTGATCAAATCGAACTACGTGGATGAAGTTCCTATTCAGCAAAGTTTTGCTGCTTGTTCATATCTCTTAGACAAAGGGTGCAGAAGCAATTGTAAGGAAGCATGTGCCGCTATGTGGTTCAAAACTTTTATGAGTATATAAAACTTTCGTAGAAACTTTTGAATATTAATGACATGCTATAGAAATTATCTTGAAATGCATCTTAAATTTGATATACAATTTAATAAATGTGTGGTGACTATCTCACCGTAACTAACATTTGCAGTCAATATGCATTAAATTTGATTGTGTGTCTATATACAAAAAGTAAATGAATGACAATACTTTTTCTATTAAGGAATTGAAAATTTTGTCAAAGTGGAGGGAGAAAGTACAAAAGGAAGATATAGTACAATATTCACTGGGTAAAAGAAGGCTCTTTAACAAAGAAAAAAACAAGCACAAGAAAATAAATGCTATACATTTGTCAAAGAATTAATGGAGAATTTCTAGGGAACATGCCACTCTCCTTGGAAGCAAAACTATCATGTTCTCATCAAACAAGTGTATCTTTTTGTTGGAAGCAAAACTATATTTTTTTTTTATTGCAACTAGTTATTCATGCTCTTCATATTGTTTTGTTTTGAACTTATTTATTGAATAAAATTAGATACTAATCCTTAACATCCGAGTATGACAGATATAGTTTCATGAGCTAAGTAGTTTTGGAAACTCTGTACTTCTCTTAACATTCTTACATCATCTTAGAGACATAAAAGATCCTAAGCATCCCTATTCTTTGGAAGAGCTGAAAGTTATATCAGAAGATGCAATTGAACTAGATGACAAGCATAACTGTGTAAGGTAGAGACAAATCCTCCTGTATTGGTGGAGTTTTCAGTTCTTATAAATTAAATATGGTTTTTTTTTTAATTCAGGGTGACATTCACTCCAACAGTAGAACATTGCAGTATGGAAACAGTGATTGGCCTTTGCTTGCGAGTGAAACTCATCTGCAGCCTGCCTATGCAGTATAAGGTATGAGCTTTTGTTTTGTGATGGTACCTCTTTGTTTACAAATTACATATTTTGTATGAGTCCCATCATAGAGGATTGGAAGTTCATATGGTTGTGGTATGTTTCATTAATGTTTGTAGTGGATCCTATTGTGGATAAAATAGCATATCTTCAATGGTTTCTTTAGTCAGGTCTGATATAAAAAATGGATACAGATTTAAGCAAAAATAGAAATTAAGAAATTGTAGCTACCTAAAATTTGAGTGCGACCATAAAGCATATCTAGGTTAATAATTCTAAACCATGGTTCAGAGAACTTCCCTGTTATATTGAAAATATTAAGGAATGGTCTTCTCACTATAACTATGGTTCTGAACTTCTACTGATCTCAGCAAGGTTCATGTCATTTTGAGATGAGTAATATAGATATAATGGGGAAGTTTTGGAAATGTTACTTCTAAACATGATTGCTGAAGCCACTTCGAATTCCTTTTTTGTGAAGTGTTGGCTTTATCTCCCCGGGTGTCAAGCTAATAATTGGTTTTAAAAAACTGTTTCCTGTTTATAATTGGTTGTATATCACCAATTACATTCATGATCTGGTCGCACATCTCTCTTTGATTTAATCTGGAAGCACACTTCTACTTCAGGGGGGCTGAATTGAATTTGGTTTACTTGTGCTTCGCTTCAATTGAAATATCCAACAATTGCTATTAGTTTTGATTTAATTTTGTTGTCTTTCTATTTCTTGACACCTCTTGTTATTGTTACAGGTGGATATCAGGGTAGCGCCTGGAACTCATGCAACTGAAGCTATATGGATTTGATAATGAACCATGGTCTCCTGGTCATGCTCCTCAGGATAGGATTTCATCTTTCTTTAAAATTTATTATTGTGACAATTCCAATTGTGTCGGTTTCTTAATAATGACTATCAATATATAATTTTTGAAGATTTACAGGATCTGTTACAATTTTTCTAGGCGGAAGAGGGCGAAGAAAAAGAAGAAAGGTGAGAAGAGTGCTGCAGAAATAACATTGCTGTTGAAAATGTTATGGCTGAGCTTGAATTGGTGGCTGGAGAAGATGCAGAATTGATTAGGCTGTTAAAACCTGCTATAAATAAACTCAAAAGCTGCCCCTCCTTATGGAGGTTGTTCTCTCAAAGTAAGATGATTTTCTCTGAGTAGTTTCATTGACATCATGTTTCCATTTTATTATTTATGGTTCTTATCTTGTTTCCTACATCAACTGTTGATTGGTGCAGGAAACAACTTCATCATGGAGTATTAACTCTTCTGAAAACCAGGCTCGAACCCCTTCCAGATGGAAGCTTACCGAATATATGAAAATTATGTGTGTACTGATTTTCTCTCCTGAGATGTATGAAAATTATGTGTGTACTGATTATGTCTTGCACTTCATGCAATTTCCCATTGATTTAGAGCATTATGATAGCAGAGAGCCACTGAAGTAGAGCGGTCTTGGGAAGGTCAGGATTCTCCTTATGAGGCGACACTGACACATGAATAATGGTTATGGCTTGGCAGTGCAAGGAACAACTCTGCATATTAATTTTTTGAGTTATGCAGGTTATTATGTTTTTGTTGAAGTCTGATGAGGAGACCACAGCCAACAGAATAATGGCAAAAGACTTGGTTGATAAATGGGTAATGTTATACATTTTTTGGACTTTTGGTACTCATACTTGTATTGATCGCTCTTCATGTTTCCCCTTTGTACTTGGATAAATTTATGGTATTTGTTTGCTAGAACATATAGTGTGAATGTGCATGTGGTGGATAGACTTCTTTCTTGCTCAATGATCAACCCAAGATCTATTCTCCAAGATGTTGATGAAATTTTGTCTTGAAAATCCAGAACCATTCCTGTTTCATTTTATTCTGTACTGAGCTATCTTCACATGATGTATTTTCATTGAGTAAATTCATGAGTTTTGAAGATGTGCTCTCTGAAATTTTGTTCTCCCCTTCTAATATTGTTTGATTAGTATGTGAACCCTTGTGTGTAGGTATTGTTTGGAACCTCGGGAGTTTTTTTTAATAACTGATGTGGGTACATGATTCTCATTCATATTAATATTTCCTTATCATTTAAAAATTAGAAAATAAAATGCAGAGTCGACCAATATTCAATAAGAGCACACGGTTTGAGGACATGAGAAACTTTGATGATGAGAAGGTTCCCTTTCGGAGGCCATCTGCAAAAAAGTATATATTATCTTTGTTTAATTTGCTTACACATGTATTTTGAGCGATTTAGCCATCTTGACCTTGTTTCCATATATATCTAGTCTTACTCATGCGAGGAATGCCTTGGTTATTTTTCAATAGGCCAATGAATAAAGTTTCATGAATGGAATGTAGAGATGACGATCATGATTTGCCTGAATTTTCACAGTAAGATGTCGTAACAGAATTAATCTGTTGGGTCCTAGTCAGTCAGTCAATTTTGATTTATTATATGGGTGATTTGCACTGTGTTTTGAATGTATATATTCGAACACATCAATTTTATGAGGGATGTGCAGGGAATCGAAGTTTGGCCAGTCATCTTCCATGCGTCTTACTTTAAGGCCTGAAGCAATGCCAATGGATTTTCTGGTTCGCCCCCAATCCAAGATTGATCCAGATGAGGTTAGGGCCTGTGTCGAACAGGTTGTGCAAGATCAGCACTGTCTGAAGGTTGGTCTTC